CTTTCCATGTATATTATATTTTATTCAAAATGACCTCTCTCTTATTCTACCAATGTGGCTCTTTCCAATCCCTCTGCTTTTTTCTCACCCTACTTCCAACCTTCCCACCCCTTTATTTATATCTAAATTGTACTAATCTGTCAGAGACCTCCTTTATCACCACCTGTTCTATGACACCTTTCCTGAATCTCCAGCCAGAAGTAATCTCAGTCCTATTTGTCAGCTACACAGCAGCTAACAAGGTCTCTGGTGTCCTTTAACTGCTCTGTACATGCTAAAGAATGATATTAAAATTCTATAACACTGCCCATGCGTTATTTTGTATTCACAGAATGCTTTCCTCTAAAAGCTCAAGTAAACTAGAAGGTTTCTTTTAAGCTTATTATTGTAGAGGGAACTGACAATCATAATGCATAATCTAATGAATAGTAAGGGAATCTGTCTAGATGTTTCTTATTTCAATCTAAGATTGCAGTATATTCAGTAATTTTCTCTAAGCAGTTTTTACACACCTCATTTCATTTTCATCAGCCATGTTTTGTAGCTGCAGGTGTGAGATGTGGGTTGATCATGTATATCTTTGACATAGGCTGCCATTTTACAAAGTCCACTGGATAGCTGCTATTTTTTATAAGTAGTATAATAAAGGCTATTTTAAGGCATAAATCTGTTTCCTAACACTCTTATGTATGTTCTATGCTTGTCATTTGAATTTTCTCTAAACATTAGAGAAAAGGATCATGGAATTATAAAAGCCAGGTCACCTTTCCTCATGTCACCATGGGCATTGTGATGGTTGCCACTTACACACATGTTTTGCTTTCTTTGCTTTATTTCACTTAGTACTTTTAAAGGTATGCATTGCGCTATGGAGGGGATAATGGAAATATAAGTCTCTGAGCTAATAAAGTCTAGTCTAGAAGAGATAATGAACAGTGCACAGTAGTATAAAACCAAATTATTGGTATAATGGCAGAGATCATGGATTCAGGAGATAGAGACACTTAAAGTCTTTTCTAAAGAATTTAGTACTTCATTACCCACTGTCTTATACTGTGTGTTAAATTACTTGTAAGAAACATTCATAAACTTTTGCTTTATAGTCTGCCTAGAGTACCCAGCAGTTTTTCTGTCTTTGATCCAAAGGCAGTCAACAGGGCCAGTCCTTGCAGTAAATCAATCCTCAGTGGATGATTCCTTATTCCTGGAATTCAATTCTGTTCCTACCTCTTTGTATTAATAGCTTAAAGGTACTGGCCTCAAATCCTACCTAATTACTCACAGTCATTACTCTAGATGTATTATCTAAAACACATTAGTCAGTATTTTCTTGCTTCTCCCTCTGGATTTTCTTTCCACTTCCATATTTTATTTTAATTCTGATGATATTTGGTTTGATAGGGGAAAACAAAACTCAGATTTATTAAATCTGTACAATACTCAAATTTATTAAACCTGATAACATGCTAGTTATTTTTCATGTGTGTTCTCCCATTTTATATGCACACATAAACCCAAGAAGATAGTTATTGATCATTTTCATTTTTAAAGTTCAGGAAACTGAAATCCTGAGAGGTTAAATAAATTATCTAACACTGAACAGGTAAGTTTTCTAAAGACTTCAGCTTATGGTATTAGAATGTATGTTGGGATGCTTCTTTGAATTAACATTTACTAAAAGACAAAAGCATTATATTTAATGTTGGATATCTTATTCTATCAAAAAGTTGAGTGACACATAATAAAGAATTGAAGATGAGATAGATAATAGAACAGTGTATAGAGAAACAGGTCTACAGAGAATTCAGATATTGGAATTATTAGACTAGGATACTAAAAAAAAACACACCCCAGCAAAAACAAATGTCCTTGACATTTTCTAATAAAGAAAGGGAAGCTTGAAAAAGTTAGGAAACTGAAAAATGCCAAATGGTGACAGTATATTTGAAAAAGAAACAAGTAGAAATTTTAGAATTGAAAAATAGGATTGAAATTAAGAAAATGGTTTGATAGCAGACCAGACAGAGCTGAAGAAAGAACCAATAAACTGGAAAATAAATGTAAGAAACTAGGCAGATGATGTTTTGTTGATTTGTACACTTGAAACCTGTATCACTTTGGGAACCAATGTCACCCCAATAAATTCAATAAAGAAGAAACTATTCAGAATACAACACAGAGAGACAACAATGAAAAGTACGGAAGAGAGAATCAATGATAAATGATAAGGAAAATAAAACTCTAACATCATTTCATTGTAGTCCAATAAACTTTAGCTATTATTTCTACTAGGTCACTCACTCCCTGCTTAAATACCTTCAATATTTCTTATTGCCTACAGAATTAAATGTAAATTCTTATACTAAAAACCTTCCTCTAACGCATTTAAACTCACCTCCAACTTCTTCCTAACATAAAATAGCTCATCTATGCTCGTTCTACCTTCATGTTGTTATGATTTATGTTCTACTCCAGCTTTCTTGCCTGAAAACTGAAGTCTTTTACAACCACCTTCCTCTCTAGCCACAGTCCTCCCCTGCCTTTTCATCGTGCTTCATTGATCTGTTATCAATTCTCAAGTTATATTGCATTATAAATTGCATCTCAGATGCCACATTTGACTGTACACTTGTCAAGGGCAGAGATATATATTTTTTAATCCTCACCCAAAGATATTTTCCCATTTATTTTTAGAGAGAGTGGAAGAGAGAGGGAAAGACAGAGAGAAATATCATTGTGAGAAAAACACATCGATTGGTTGCCTCCTGCATGTGCCCCGACCAGGGCCGAGCTGGAGAGAAGCCTGCAACTGAGGTCAAACCTGGGACCCTTCAGTCCACAGGTGAATGTTCTATCCACTGATCCAAACCGGCTAGGGCAAGGGCAGAGATTTTTAAAAAATATTTGAAGACATTATTTTTAGAGCAGTTTTAGATTCACAGCAAAATTGAGTAGAGATACAGAGAGTTCTCATATACACTCTGCCTCTACATGGACACAGCCTCCCCCGCCAATCAACACCCCCCCACCAGAGTGGGATACATTTAATACAATCAACAACCCTACATATAAACATCATTATCCAAACTATGGCCAAAGTCCGTAGTTTACATTAGGGTTCACTCTTTGTGGTGTACAGTCTAATGCAGCCGTGGGCAATCTACGGCCCGCGGGCAGGATCCGGCCCGTTTGAAATGAATAAAACTAACAAAAAAAAAAAAAGACTGTACCCTTTTATGTAATGATGTTTACTTTGAATTTATATTAGTTCACACAAACACTCCATCCATGCTTTTGTTCCGGCCCTCCGGTCCAGTTTAAGAACCCATTGTGGCCCTCGAGTCAAAACGTTTGCCCACCCCTGGTAATGGGTTTAGACAAATTAAAATGTCAGGCACTCACTATTATAGAATCATGCAGAGCAGTTTTACTGTCCTAGAAATCCTCTCTGCTCCACCTATTTATCCCTCCCTACCTGCTACCCATGGCTAGGGATTTTTAAAAATTTATCCTTAGAAGGAACATAATAACTGACATCCTTGCCCCCAAATAAATGTTTTTGGATGCATGGTTGAATGAATGAAAGAAGGAAGGACAAATTGGAGAGAAGCAGGGCATCTTTGTCACCCTCTTGCTGACTGATGTTTTGTCTCTGTTTCAATATTGACTCATACTATTCTGTTCTACTCAGAAGACCACCCATACAAACCTGCCTGTTCTTGAAATGCTAATTCCCACCTGATCCATTAAACTGAAGTCAAGAGAGAACTCTGGACATTTTAAAGACGTATTTAATGAAGGATCTATTTAATTCAATGTGCCACACTTGTATTTTTCATAAGCCTATGTCTAGATTCCCCAGAAGACTGAATTATATTTTTATGTGGGGGGTAGAGTTTTTATATCCTCACTTATTATGAGCAAGAGATGCCTTCATAAATTATTGCTTTCGGTTGGGATTATAGACAGTAGCTATGGAACAGAGAGATTTGCTGGTCTATAAACAATTCACAGTCTGTCTCTTTTGCATCAATTCAGCTAGCTGTCTAGGACAGAACATTATTGGGAACTAATTAAAATTATAACAGGGAAGTATATGTTTTTGCAGATTTGAACTTGCAATCATTTCCATAAAAAGCCACAGAGGATTGCCAAATTGTTGTTAAAATAATATAACTTCTCTTTGTGCTAGCAGAAGTTATTTATAAAACATTTGTCATCCTTTCCCAAGTATTTTAAACATTCCAAATGGCATCGTTGATGTTATTTTGTTTTTATACAAACTTAAGAAGAAAATGTTTCACATGCTGCTGATTTTGAAGACATTACTTTCTTTATCCTTCCACCCCACCCCCCAAACAGTTACCATAAGGGAAGACTAATTTAGATTTTTGAAATTTCATTCATTTAGTTTTGACCATAGAGGAGGATATATTTATCTGTGGGGTAATAGTTTTGTATTATAAAAATGTTTTGTACAAATGTCAGTTTCTCATCAAGGTTAATTCACTGGGATATTTTCCTATAGCTTGAGGGATTTCTGAGAGAAATGCTTTGGGGAGGTTTGAATTGGGATTTTATGAATTGGAGCTATGAAACATCTACTTTAATAAAGATCAATACCCATTTGAAAGATTATGAAGAAAACTTAGCCCCATAATATATTAAAAAATCATGTTCTTTTTAAAGTTAAAGTTTTAGTCATTCATATCATTGTGATAGTCTTCACAGACATGTTGGTTAATTTAGCATTATTAACTCAATAATAATACTCTTCTTTCTTGGGATAATACCACAGGGGGTGATATTATTCTAAAAGAGAACAACGCATTCAATAAACATTATCTTTAAAACATACTGCTGAGCATATTCCTCAGTAGGATCTTGTAATTGATACCAGTTTTAAGTTGAAATCTCAATTCCTGGTCATTAAACTAATTTGCAGTCTTAAAAGGTAAACTGAGTGATTAGGTTCATGGCAGTTCTATTTTTATTCACAGATAATGCCTCTGAGGTAGCAATTACTGCTCCAGGAACGAGTAACCATAGAAACAGCTCTACAGGCCCAACACCCGACTGCTCACCTCCGTCCCCCGACACTGCCCTCAAAAATATTGTAAAAGTTATTCGACCTCAGGTAAGTGCCCAGAATGACATTATCTGCACCATAACGTATTTTGTTTCTGAATCAGTGCATGCAAAACTGACATTGCAATGCCTGGCCTATTTTAGGATATGTACATTGATTTTTAGATTAAAAGAGGGGACTTGGAAGGGGGATGTTTTCTGCCCTTGGAGTCGATGGTAGACACTGAAATCTATATCAGCTTTTAGCAAAAGGAATTTGTATATTATAGAAAAAACACACAAATGAAGCTTAGGAAACGTGCTATTTCACATCATCTTCCTTTCATAACATTTTAATAATTATAGTCCAGTTATTAAGTTGTTACCTTTTTTTTTTGGTGTCTCCTGCTCATTTTGTCTTCATTTCTCTGAACATGCTGCATTACTTGTAATCACTTCCCTATCCTCCAGCCCCAGTTGTTTTTATATATTTTCTTTACATTCTCTATTCCTTACGGTCTCTAATTTTGCCTGTGTTTGGTATTTTGCATCTCATTGCTCCTTACTTCCCTTCAGTGCTCACGTTCGCCTAGCTGGTCTCCCTTTACCCTTTGTTCTTTTTCCTCATGCCTGTCATTTGTCTGTGTGGCTTTCTTTTGCTTCCCTCTTTTTTCTCTTTCAGTTGGATTTCCCAGTAGGCGGTTTGCAGGCAAGCTTTAGAAATATCACTGGGACAAGCTGTTCTGTGATATTTCATTGAAAATAGCACTTATAAAGCTGTTAGCATTATATTTTTGCCAACAGGAGAACTCAGAACATGGACTTGGTCTTGTTCTCAAACCTGGCTCGTTCTGAATGGGCCTCATAAAACCCAAGAGAGGGGGGACTGTGGATCTAATCAATGCCATTCACCATCTACTTAAGTATATAGTATGAACAAGTCCTTTGAGCTAATTTGTAAGACAGATGTGCCTTTTAAGACTGTTTTGCTTTGAATGAGCCATGATTTCCTTAATATCTTATCTTCTTTCATATCATTTGTTTAGGACGATTCCTATTATAATCATCATCCTCATTAATAAAATGGCATTTATTTATTTATTTATTTTAACCTGGAATTAGCCTTTTACTCTCAATATTATGTTATGAATATTCACCCACATTTATGCGCAGTTTAGTTCATCTCCTTTTAAAATTTAAAAATTTTTATTTTTTCCATCACCTTTAATCTCCTCTATGCCCTCTATTCCCCCTCCACCCCCACAATCACCACACTGTAGTCCATGTCCATGAGTTCTCTCTCTTTTATTTTTATTTTTTCCTCATTCCCCCCTCCTTACACCCCCATCCTTGAGCTGACTGCCTGCTCTCTATCTATGAGTCTATTCTCTATTTTGCTTGGTAGTTGTTTGTTCATTAAATTCCACATGTAAGTGAAACCATATGGTACTTGTCCTTCTCTGACTGGCTTATTTCACTTAGCATAATGTTCTCCAGGTCATTCATGCTGCCACAATGGCTAAAATTTTCTTAAAATGGAATTTAAACCTTACATATCCACCTCAGTTTATAGAATATTTTCTTCTTTTTCTTACTTTTTTTTTGGAAACTTTCATATAAATTGTTTCCGTTAACCTTCATTAACTCCAAGGGACTGGATATTCTGGTGTTTTGGGTAAGGATGTTGGCACTCCAAAGGGGCTAAGTTGCACAACTAATTTGCAGTTCTTTTCCTTTCTTTCATATAATAGTTGTCTCTTCTGGTCCTGTTCAGAGGCTAGAAAAATCCTCACGAGATTGTACATGACATCTTCATGAGGAACTTACAGGTTTGGGGTCAGTTAGGCACAGTCACATTTTACACAGAGTCCCAATATGCAGAGGAGAAAAATGTCTTCAAAAACCCTTTCTTCCTCTTCAGGGAAATGTCATCTAGTTCATTTGCTTCAAGAAATAACCTCATTAACCCCATATTTAGATGCTAAATGCCACATTAACTGTCATCGGTTCTCTCATTACATGAAGCTGTTTCTGGTGTTACTGTGAAGCCATAACATTTCCAGAAATTTTAAAATGTCTTAGGTAAGAGATTGTCCGATATGTAAGTTAATAAGATCCATTAATAAAAATATTTACTTTTATACCAATGTAAATCCTCTGATGTAAATGCATGTGGTCATTCAATGAATGAAAAACAGATTTCTTTCTACATATCTGGTCTATGCAACCCTAAGGAAACTTAATCCATAAATCCTTCCTTATATATTCTTTAGCTGTGTTTATTTTGGTAAACTTTGAAGAAAACGAGAGGTAGTGTTAAAGCCAGAAATTCCAACTTGACTTTATTCCTCGGTTCGTTATTACTAGTAAATGTCTATGAAGCTAACTAACTCCAGCTTCCTTTCTTAGCTGTCATAGTGATGATTTGAGGAGGAAAAAAATGAAGCAAGTCAGGAAACTAAGGATTATGGTATTTAACTTAGAACCAATGCAGCCTATAAGTTTGTATGTAATAGAACAATGTCTGCTAAGGTGTATAATTGGGAAGGAATATGACCTCAACTTTCTTTTTGCTGCAGAGACTGTGGTGGATTGCTTATTTCTCCTCATGATGTCTAACCTCCTGGGGCTCCTCTTTCACTGTAGAGCGCAGGGAATAGAAAATTAGTGGAAGTAATTATTAGGGAGAATCAGGGTAGGACACGTGATTTCAGGAAAGGGTTTGGAGACTAGAGAGTGTGGGTGGGGGGCAGCTGGATGGATAGAACAGGAGACTCCCTGGAGTGTTCTGACAAGTCACAGGTGTGTGAGGGATGGAGAATGGTTGAGATCTAACTGTTCCAAAGAAAAGATAATTGTTGTTAGGTTATATAAGAGCCTATATTTTGATCACAAATTTAATCCTCTAAAGTGTTTGCTAATTCTGGCTGGAAATGCAAAAAATGTGAAGTTAGATTGACTTATGGGTATTAAAACACTTTTAAAATTTACTAATTAGAAATTAATAACATGGTTGAAAAGATCATTTCACTCTTAAAACTACCTGTGTTCATGAATTTGCATTTCTTTGCCTGGGTATTGGCACATGTGTTCATTTTTATTGTGAGAATGATATAGAATTTGATGAGGAATAAAAACATAATTTCATTGCATTCACTGCAAATATATACTACTTAGATAGAGCAAGTTTAGTTACTTCCCCTTCTCTTTTTGTATGTCTTTATCTAGTCTACTTTCCATAACTCTACCTATACATGAGAATATCCATTGTAAGCAAGGACTCATTGCATTCAATTTGTGGTAGGGCTGATTATACATTGCATGTTTGGAATTACTGTTAATTATTTAGAAGCCACAGATTTTTCAGTGTTTTGTTGTTTGATTTTATTTGGCATATTTATTTATTTTTTCAATATGTTTTTATTGATTTCAGAGAGGAAGGGAGAGATAGAAACATCAATGATGAGAATCATTGACCGGCTGCCTCATGCACGTTCCGTACTGGGGATCAAGCCTGAAACCCGGGCATGTACCCTGACTGGGAATTGAACCATGACCACCTGGTTCATGGGTCGACCTCAACCACTGAGTCACACTGGCTGGGCGTGGCATATTTACTAACTCACTAAGTCACAGCTGTTAGTTCTGTATCCCATGTTTGAGCTTTTTACCTTTGCTTCTTTGGATTCTTTCATCTCATAAAATTCTTCAGATTATGAAATATTCTATTTTCAACTCGTAGAGACTGAAATATTTATATACTACTGGTTTCTCTTTGTCTTCCTCCAGTATATTAACCTACAAGGCTGAGCTTCTCTATCAGGATGTTTTACCCACATTTAAATGATAACTTTGGCTGAACAGAATATTTTAAGTTTGGTGAGATCCAGTTTATAAGGTTTTTTCTTTCATGGTTAGTGCTTTTTGTGTTTTGTTCAGGTTGTGAATATGTGCTCTCATATTTTTTCTAGTTGCTTTCTGGTTCTGGATTTTATATTTAGTTTTATGATCTATCTCGAATTGTTTTTGTAGGTTGTGAGGTAAGAGTTGAGATTCATTTATTTTTCCTACATAGAAAAAGAGTTTTCTCATTGAGTTGACTTAATGCTTTAGTATTGTTTATTACTTTCACTTTCCAATTGTTCATTGTTGGTATATAGAAATGCTGTTGGGTTTTCCATTATCCTGTGTCCTGCCACCTGGATAAACTTATGGAAAAGTTATAGTAGTTCCTTTTAAAAATAATTTTTAATGGTTTTCTTCTGTCCTCTGAGAATAATGATGGTTTTATTTCTTCTTTTTCTAGTCTTTATGTCTATTGTTATTATTAACTAGTGGCTGGTGCATGAAATTCATGCACATTAACGGGAATTAATTAGAGGAAATATTTTAATATTGCTATTTGCCCTTTCTCTATAATCGAAATGTCAGAGATGAAAGAAAATAAATAAAATGTATATGAAAATCTTCCTCCTGTCAGAATCTGGGGCGCACCGTGGGAACCTGAGCCAAGTCCCCACCCACCCACGTGCGCCTCAGAATCACGTGACACCCAGACCTGGCCAGGCCCAGCCCATTGGACTAGATCCAGACCCAGCCGACCCCACCCCCGTCAAGACCCTCCGGGTGGGAGGCGCAGCCCCCGGCTGCC